ATATCAAGAATAATTTTGGAGGAAACATATGAATAAGTGGAAAAAATGTTTTTTGTGTGACACATTTTGTTCTTTAGGACTTCATCAGACTAAGTTTATTTACAGTGATCTGACTACTCATGTGCACAAATGAGAGACACTGGGAATTTTAAATCTAAAAATAATTTTTTTTTTCTTTTTTATATATATATATATATGTGTGTGTGTGTGTTGGGTATATAATCTAGCCAATTTCATTTAGATTCTATTTGTCTTTGTTTCCATCATTTTTGTTATTAAATATTCCCATATTGTGATAATAGAAGATTGGTCAAACATTGTAAAAATCTGGAGACAAATTTACTGTAGATGACCTAGTGATTAAAGCACTTTCTAAAAATCTTTGACTTAGTGAATTGTTTTCTATTTTAATTAAAGTAGAATTTTTTATATGAAAATTGTGGTCAGTCTGATTAGGTTTTTAAATTTTAAATTCCCAGCGCCTTTCATTTGTGCACATGATTAGTCGCATCACTGTAAACATAACGTATTCTGATGAAGTCCTAAAGTGGAGATGCTTTGACACAGTGCAATGGTTAACAAGCTTGTCTTGTTAGATCAGTTTTTAGGGCACATAATGAGGAAAGAAGAATTGGAAAATTTGACACTCACAGTACAGATTAAAAAGCAACAGGAACAGAGAAAGACAACATATAACCTAGTTGTCAAGCTTGAGTGAATGGATAGCAAAGCAGGGTTTGGGAAAGATAGACAAAAGACAAAATTTATTAAAACTTACACTGCTACACAGGACAGAAAGTTGTATAGAGCCTTGTTTGTCAATGTCCTGAAGAGACATTGCACATAGAAGAAGGGAGTTCGATCCTCATTGGGGGTTTAGTAAATCACTATAAGTATATAAGTATGCACTACTCTTTAGCTCCAATGTATTTGTAAACAGTTTTTTTAAGGGTGAAATAAAAAATATCTGAACAGTCTTATTATATATCAACTGGAATTATTTAGAGAAATTAAAATTAAAAACTGGTATTATATTTGTAGTGTATATTAATTTTATTTTTACTACTATTAAAATAGTAGCATTGAATACATATTTAATCTAGTTTTTTTTTTTTTTTTTTTTTTTAGTATAAGTTCTTTTGAAAGAAGTGTAATTTTATGAAGGCCAGAGGGTTTGTGTAAAAATTTGTTACACTTGTCTGTCTTTTTTCAGCTCAGTGGTTAAAAGCCACCAAATTTGTGAGGGATCCATTTCTAGCTTATGGAAAATTATTTTTTCGTATATACTGACCAATGAGAGATGTGGCCTCAAGCTCTCATAACAACCCAAATCTTGTGAGCCTAATTTTCTAAATATATAGAGCTCAGGTCAGTGGACACAGGGAGAAGACCTTTTGACAGCAAGGGGACAGGGCAAATCAACATCAAGGAGCACAAGGCATTTGATATCAAGAAGGCACAAGGTTACCAGTCAGCTGCAGAGAGACTAAAGAATTTTGAAGTCCAAGTGAAAATTCTCCTGAACGAAAAGAATTCTAAGAAATTTTCCCAAGCACAAACTGTGTGAATTTAAAAGGGATTTTTCTAAAATTATTATATGTCCCAGAGACATGCATCGAGCAAGTAAAAGTAGATGTTTTTGTCTTTTCTGAAAGGTGGTTGCACCTTTTTTTTGCCTTCTTGAATTGTTTTCTCTTTTGTCATTTTCAAAATCTTTGTCTATTTCTAAACTGAAATCATATTTTTTTTCCATTTTTCGATGGCAATCCTTTTTATCAGAAATTGTTATCCTGCCTTAATAGATGCACAAAAGGAAATTTTTATGCAAACTTTGTATTTGTACCTTTTTTGTACTTGTGTAATAAATGTTTTTCCTTTAAAATTTTTATACAATGTTTGAGTCCTATTTTGATTATTTTGTACCTATTATGGCTTGCTAGTCCTACTAACTAAGGTTTTGTGTTTGACACAAGAACTTAGATTTGGTAGGGAAGAAATTTTTTATAAATGGATGGGTAGGGTGTATATATCCTAATAGGATAAAAAGGTTTAAAAAAGAAAACTCAGGTTTAAAAAAGAAGTAAAAGAAAACCCATCTTTATTTACACTATTTATATTCATCTATTGTCTTCATCTTTGTTTTGATAACAGCAACAAAGATTAGGACAATAGTCTGAATATAAATAGTGTTAATAACTCTTCAACGCAGAAATTCAGACAAAAATTGTTGAATTGATACAGACCTGATGTGAGACACCAATAGCGGTGATAACAACAACAAAAATGAAGACAATAGTGCAAATAAAAATACAGGGAATCCTCGACTTACAACATAGTTCCGTTCCTATGATGCATTGTAACGCGTTTTTCTGTGTAAGTCGGAACATACCAGTAATTTCACTTCCCTGGTGATAGCATTTTTTTCTTTGAAGCACCGTCATCAGAATAGGTTACACTACACTTAGAAGCTATAATGAAGGGTACTAAGTTTCCAAAAAACACAACACAAATGAAAGAGAATAAATGCATAACAATCTAATATGATATACCACCAAAAAACAAGATTAATAGAGATTGCATCGTAACCACAAATTGTCATAGATCAGGACTGTCATAACCCTTGGACTTACTGTAATGCAAATCATGATTACTCCCAATCCCAGAAAATCTGGCAAAAACTTATTTTTATCAGTAGTCAGTCTTGCTATTAAAAAGATCTTATTTTTTGAACAGTAAAAGTAAAAACCTATTTCACAATTCTTTAGTAAATTTTATTGCAAACTTTATTTCATATTTCATCACACAAACAAGGTTACTCTTAAAGATTCTGCATATTTGTCCACTCTTGACATACAAACATTTTACCGAAAGTGGAATCTTAAGAGACTTATGTCATGTAAAAATTTATTCAGAACAAAATGAAAAAAAACTCAACGAAAATCAAATAACCAGAAAAAAAGATTTTGTACAGAAGAATAACTGATACCCAGATTCAATCTTCCTTGAAGAAACAGCTTATGAAGAGATTTATCAGTCCAACTGAATTCACTGTGTAGTGAATTTAGTCCCCGACACAGATGATTGGTTGTAGAGAAGATATATAGTAGCAGCATGCTTTCAAAAAGAAACTTTCTCACTCTCTCTTCCTTCCTTTTCTTACATCTAATATAATTATTATTATATATATAATTATATAATTATAATTATATAAGGTCATTGACCCTAATGAAAAGAGCTCTTCTAGAGTGGGTCACATAAGTATCTGTCTATATTTCTGAGATGAGGTATTATGTACATTATTTACATTATTCAGACTATTGTCCTCATCTTTGTCACTATATTATAACAGCCGAAACGGTGTAATAAATATGGCGACAAAGATGAGGACAATAGTCCGAATAATGTAAATAATGGGTCACATAACTTTTATTAATTTCAAAAATGTAAACACTCAGATTCTGCTATTAATGAAAAGTCAAACTTTTCTACAGCCAAACTTTTATTATTTTATTCCTATTTTAGAGAATAAATATTTCATAAAATTTCAATTTACTTTGTATTTTGCTTTTGTTCTGTATTGTTTTGTTGAAAACATATTAAATGATATACATACCTCCTTGGTAAATATACATACTTTCTCAACTGAAATGAAAATTCATAAGCTGAAGTCCCTTTACTTACATTGTAAAGGGATAAGGTCAGGAAGATGATCTATTATGTAATAATACAGTATTTAATGGATTTTTTATAAAAGTCTTAGGAAATTTGAACATTTAAAACTACCTTGAAAAATGACGTATCTTTGGACAGTATTCATTCACAGCAGTGTAAGGACAGCTTGTGTGGCTTCAGCCCCCTTACTTTTTGCTGGAACTGAAAACTAAACTGAAGACTAATTTTGTCTTCTTGGTTTCAGATTATGACAATACTATTGAACTTTGAATTGAGCAGTGTTATTTGTCCAAAATCATAATTGTTCCTAATTTTCAAAATAAATAATAAAACTTCTTTTCTTTTTCAAAACATTAGCTTCTATGTAAGTCTTATATACATAAAAATCTGTCCTTTTCCAGAAAATAAGTACAAGTAAAAAGTAAAATAAATTGTGCATTTCAAATCAAAACAAAGTAAAAAATGTTCACAATAGGATAATCTATCTAAAAAAATAATTTAATGAGAAAATCAGATAAAAAAAATATATAATCAGGAGGAGTCTTTAAGCCATAACAACTGATTTTGAAGCCCCCCACCCGCTTCCACTTTTGACCCTACTTTCAATGTCTGCCTTAGGATGTCTCCTTGGCTAGCATCAGATTTAGTGCTACAACTTTATTTTGTGGCATCATGCCTGATACTGGATATTAGTACATTAAAATATATAGAGTAAGCAAAATATGAAATATAGCAAAATATATGGAGTAAGTAAAATATGAAATGCATGAAGTAAGTAAAATATGAAATATATAAGCAAAATCTAAAATGTATGCAGCAAAATATAAAATGAATGAAGTACACAAAATATAAAATATATGAAGTAAAATATGAAATGAATGAAGTACACAAAATATATGAAGTAAAATATGAAATGAATGATGTAAACAAAATATGAAATGCATGAAATAAGCAAAACTATGTAAAGTAAAGCATTATTTCTCCATTAAATAAGCTCTTTTCTCTTCATACAAATCTTGGAAAACATAGCAAGCCTGTTAATGTTGCTTTTTTGTTAAGAAGAAATATATAACTTATACATAAAAGAACATATATATTTTTGTATATCATAAAATTGAATATTACATGAATTTGGCACAAGGATATCAAACAAATGACAACATAAAACTCATTTGTTTTTATTTTTGAATTTTTACCTTTCAATATCATTTTCTGGATCCTTTATCATTACAGGAATCCATTTGCTTTGGCAGTGACATAAAACAAACTTCTTTTGTTTAACAATGAATCAGATATTATCAAGTATAAATGTTATATTTACCAAGGCTTACAGCCATATCACATTGAAACATTGGTTCCTGTATGATCGCTGAAGTTAAGCAACATCAAGTCTGGTTAGTACCTTGATGTGCAACCACTTGGGAATACCAGGTGCTGTAAGCTTTGATGTGCAGGTGGTGCAATGGATAATGGCTTTGAATCGTTAACTGGAGAGCTAAGTTCCAATTCTAGTTGGATTTGTTATATTCACTTACATGCAAATATCTTTGGGAAATGTATGAATTCACCGCTTCTCTCTCTCCAGCTATGGGTTAATTAGTAAGACTTGTATCACTAAATCATTATTACCACAAACAAAATTCTTACAATCTAAAAATATTTTCTGGCTTTAAATAACCTGAAAAAGGTTGATAAGCTGTAGAAAATGAATGAATGAATGAATATTTTCTAAACTTTCTTTCCTGAATATGTGTCCTAGAAATTTCAACTGTTTCTTTCTGATTTTATATATAAGTGCCATTTTTTGTTTCTGCTTTCCTTAAAACTTACTTGTTACTCACATCTTCAATCCATGGCATTCTCAGTATCCTTCTGTAGAGCCACATCTCTGTTGCCTTAAGTCTCCTCTTCATATATAAGGAAATTGTCTAGCATTCACTGGCATAGAGGAGGATTGATATTATATAACAGTTCTGCACTCTTTTCTTTGTACCAAATACTCTGGTCTCAGTGACTTGTCTCAAATGAATCATTATCACTTTGCTTTCAGAGAAAAAAATTTCTTCAAATAATATTAACTTTTATATGCATATCTGAAAAGACTTTCATTAAAAGCAACCTAATTTGTACAGAGATTAAACTATTCTGGCCATAAACAAAAAACAAATTAGTCTCTTGAAATATAATCACATCTCAACATCAAACCAATGAACATGCTTATCTTTGTCAGGATCTGTCAAAAAATCTTTGAATTCTCTTGTGAATGCACAAACAAGACCAAGTTGGTTGGCCTACAATATTATGCAAGATGATCTACAAATTCTACTCTAAAATAATGGTTGATATCTTGTACTATTTTCCCTGCCTCATTTTGGGGAGTATTTAAGCAGACAGATCAAGAAAAAGTTAAGCAGACAAAACTTCAGCTGCTTGCACTGTGGCTTTAATGATAAAATTTGATGAGAAACAGGATGAAGTAAATGCTTTCATCTGGATTTTTGGACTTGATAAAACAGGATGTTCTGGCCTCAGCTACATATGGAGAGGAAATCTGCCCACCCTTCCCATAAGTCTTTGCTCAAATCTAGGATTTCATTTCCTTCCCAGAGTACTTTAGTCAAGCTTCTCATTTCATAATAAGAACCAGTATATATACAAAGACATCTTGCAAAGGCAAGGAATATTACAACATATCTATATAAATATCATTTAAGATGTATAACTTTTGTAGTTATTATATTTTTTATTCAATTATCAGTAAAAGTTATTACTAAACCTATTTACTAAGTATTTTTTTACAACATATCTCAAATAGAGGAAATAATAATAACAACAACATCGTGATCAAAGACCACAAAAACAGAATGTGCAGATTGAAATCTTTCTTTGAAGATCTTCAAAAAACTATCAAAATAAAAGGATCTTGAAATGGAAAATATTAAAAATGTGGTACATGAGAACATCGATAATTCCAGTCATAGTTGGGGCTCTCAGATTGATTGGAAAAGCTCCTGATAGATGTAGTGAAGGGATTCCTACTAACCTATCCCTTAAAATTGTACTCACAAGTACAGCTCACACATTACAAAGAGCTTTATCTATGTAAAATGCGTGTGATCTTAGTTTATTTTTTTTAAAAAAAGAATCAGTGGAAAATGTCATGAAGTCATTTCTGATCTTAGGTCTCTGGTTGGGACCCAGAAGGAAATGTGTATACAACAGAAATCAAAGGAAATAATAATAATTCACACTCATGTGTACATCTCATATCTTGTGTAGATTTTCTCTCTATGACAGTGACATAATTACATCTCTTTGATTGCATGTCACATTATCTGTTTGCATCTTCTGATTCAAAAACCTTGTTGTTTCTTGAAGTCTCTGGATGAGATTTGGGAAAAACTCATACAACACAAAGCAAAGACAAACACTCAAAAACAACAACAATAATAATAATAATAAATGCCCTGATGCTACACCGGGCATGGCTCTTATGGCTTTTGATCTTGATTGGAGATGTTAAATTTTACATATTTTCTCATGGTGAATTAAGATGGGTTACAATAAACATCCTGGTCAGTATTATAGATTTGCTTGCCAGTTGCCTGACCATAACTAGTTGGTCATGTCACCTAGTGGAATAAGAACAATCTATCCCTGTAGATTTTTTTTTAAGCATTTCACCCCAATCAAGGTGCGAGTGCCACTAGCACACAAGGGGTTACAGAGAGTAAGAGTAAGAGTAAAGAGGGGTGTTTGAGGAAAGGATAAAGAGAAGGATAGAGATCAAGATCTAGGCATCAGAAGATGTCAATTGACATTAAATTTGAAGATTTGAAGATTATAGTTATCAAGGAAGCAAGTAAGAGGAAGGGAGTTCCACTGTCGGGAAGTGCAAGAAAAGAAGCTGTTGGAGTAAAAGTGGTGGTTACATTTAACCGTTTCAACAGTGAAAGAGTGGAACCAAGATGCCAATCTAGTAGCATGCTTAAATGCATGCAGTTGGGGTACCAGTGAAAGTAGCTCGTCAGAGCAGTTGCTATGAAAATATTTGTAGAAATGACAAAAGGAAGCCATGTCATGTCTGTGAGGAAGTGACTGTAGTCGAGATGCTAGATCAGGACTGATCACATTGCATATCTGTCTTTGGATTTTGTCAAGAACCACAAGATGAACAGCAGGTGCACCAGACCATATATGGCAACAGTATTCAATGCAAGGGCAAATGGTAGATTTGAAGGATGGTATTAAAACAAGGGTTCTGTTTGAAATTCCCACAAAGTTATCCAGATTGACAGATGAAGAAGGCTGAAATGCTGTGATAATGATAAAGATGTGGATATTAGTCTGAATGTAAATAGTAATACAGATTGTCAAAAAAAAAAGAAAATTCCAGTTTGTAAGTTAATTCAATGTAATAAATTTGCCCACTGAAGATAGAATCATATAACTTGATGTTTTACATTGGAAGAAAAAAAAACTTTTAAGCCATCATCTGGGACTTGTTATTTCTGTAAGTAATTTTATTTCTTTTTTTCTCTTTTAAGATTGATTTTTTTTTATCTTTAAGATTTTATTATCTATTTTTCTTGAGGCTGTAATGTTTTGCTTTGCTTCTAATATAAACACATACACTTGTATAAGTTGAATTTTTATGGTAAAATGTTTTGCAAAACTTTAGCGATTGGACTATCCATAGGAAATACATTAAATTGAAATTGTGCCTAGTTGGAAAATGTGACTACCATTTAGCTTAAGATATGAAATATTTTTACCAATTACAGAAATAATGAAAGTAAATATTTTTGCTGATATTTCTAGTAGTTCAATGTAAAGTCAGTGAAATCAGATATGATGGCTCATTGTGCAGATATTTATAAGATAAAATTTTCAGATCTCAGAGTTCAGAATCACAAGGACATAATAACTGTTCTATTTAAAATAGGCCGATAGAAAGATAAGCTTCATTGGCTTGACTTTGTAATTAATGTAAAAAAAAATCTCATTTTTATATTTCACTTATAAAATTGCATCTTCCAAGGTAAAAATGTAATCGAGCAGAAATTAAATTTCACTAATTACATAATGCTCACCCTAATTAGTATCAAATTTAATTATTTCTAATTGGTTATTGTTGCATAAGGTGTTCAAAAGATCTTAGCTTGACCCCCTTTTTGTCCAACACCACAAATTACTATAAAACCAAAATATTAATCTAAAAACTTGAGTCATGTTCTTAAATAGCCTCATCATATTAAGATATTCATATGAATGCTATCCATATATACTTGTTTAGAAATATCTAAACTGTCTGCTGTATACAACCAATTTCTCAGATCAATCATTAAAAATGGCTTTGGACAAGTGAAGCCTGTGGATTTTGGTGAAGACCATTCTTCTTTGAACCTTGTGAACTGGAACTACAGTAGCCACATCACTTGAGAACTTTCTACAGCAGCAACAAATAAAATGGATCACCATCAATAGTGAAAAGACTGAGAACAGTTTCTAGACTTGAGAAAACTATTTTCTGGAAATTTTTTTTTTAATAGAAACATTTTATAAATTTTATAAAAGTGGCATCGCTGCTCAGTCAATGAATGCCGTATGTTTCCTTATATAGAAATCACTAATATTACCATTACTTCCCAAACATCAGGAATTTTTCTTAATACTATCTTGGTTGGGCAAAGAACCTAGCAGCATTCCCTTGTATAGAGCAAATAATAATCAATCACTCAGTCAACACGTGTTGTCTGACTCTTAAGGTAGTCAACATTCTCCACTTCAACTGATCAGCAGTTAAAAACTGGGTATAACTGCAGCTCTTTTTCATTTGTCTCAGATCCCCTTTGATGTTTTGCTACCAGTTTTCAGCTGACCTCACTTCCATTTTCTTCTTCTATGTACTGTGTCTCCTTAGGATGTGGGTGATTATGGTTCACCACCATTTCTTGTCCTTTCTAACTTTTTGTAAAGTTTGTCTTTTTGCTATCTCTCCTAATCACTGTTCTACTAACCATTTACACAAGCTCGTTAGGTAGGTTATGTGTTGCTTTTTTTTTTGTCCTTGTATTCAATACATCCTGTTAGTGCCAAATTTTCTAAGCCCTCTTTCCTCATTATGTTTCCTAGAAATTTTAACTGTCTCTTTTTGATTTTATGTATAATTGTTTTTTTCTTGTTTCCATTTTCCATACATTTTCTTTGTTTCTAACAAAATTTTCCTATTTATTAATACTTTGCTTAACTTTTGAAAGGCATCTTTTGCTATTCAGATTTCAATGTCACATTTGCATCCTATGTTAACACACTTCCTAGATATTTAGTTTTGTACTTGCTTGATTTTGATATTTCCAGCTTGTAATTTGCATGTTGGATGGTTCCTTTTGTTGACAACCATACATTCCATTTTACTATTAGAAATTCACCACAGTTCTT